CGAGGCCACATTAGCGGGATCGAGCAGTTCGGCTCGGTCGCTCTCAGTCTCTCTCGTCACAGCCAAGAGGCACCTAGCTGGTTTTTTTTTTTTCAACGGTCTTTGGTGGGTGGGCCCGACTCAGTTTAATGTCTTCCCTTATTTTTGACAGGCAGTTTAATTTCTTCCTTGTCTAACATCTAAGCAGAAAGGACAGCCATAACTACTACCCAAAGTCAGCCATCACAAAATACCGGCTGCTGCCTGCTAGACTTGCTCATCAAATCTTGCCTCTCTAGACTCTCATGGCAGTACAAATAACAACAGAGATAATAAAAATTACAACTATGTCCGTGCACCACCTAGTGACAACTGCAATCACTGAAGTGAGCCAAAGGCGTGCGGCCGTTATCGCCCCTCCCTTACCGAAGCCGAGCAACCCTTAGTAGTAGACAGTCGGGAAGTCGTCATGCTAAGGTCCCATAGGACCAGCGCACCAGAGTAACAACCACCGCCGATGAAGAAAGCCGTAAATCAGAAGGATCAAACGTGTAAACACCCAAACGAAGACGAACGAAGACCGGATGCAAACAAATCCACCGGAGACCAGCACCGATCGAATCCCGCGAGATCCGATAGAACACACCTCCACACGCCCTCCGACGATGCTAGACGCACCATCGGGACGAGGATAGAACGTGAGAGATATTATTTCTATTAAGACATTGAACCCAACTAGCAAGATGCCCGTGCATTGCACAGAACATCAGGACACATTTTGTTATAAAACACCTGTTGTGATTGACCCATGCGGGAGTAATCCCATGCGTAGAAATTAATGATATCTCGAGAAAGAGGAGAGATAAGGTGAGGAGGAGTGTGGTGTGGTGATGATTGGTGGTCGGACTGAGCGGAGGCATGGGGATGGACGACGTCGACAGCGGCCACCATGCCAGATTGTTCCAGAGACTTCCTTTTTAATTGCTCAACAATGAGGTTGTGGGAAATAAGGGTGAACGAGGAAAGTCCTTATCTACAAATGTGGAGAGAAGTGCGGATATCTTTTTACAAAATTGCAATGTTTTCTATCCGTCAGATATAGATCGGACGGTCTAAGCTTTTCTTGTGGAGGAAGAAAGAGATACGATAATGGTGATTGGATTGTGCTAATTTCCAGGTGAAAACTGCAATCTCCCTAGTCTCCCATGTTCCTGAGGCTGGTCACAGTGGGGAGGAACTTAGGAATAACATCACACACTTCAATACAACTTTGCTTATGTGGCACGTATTTAATGAAGAGAGAGGTGCTTGTGGGAACTAGCTAAGTTACCGGAACATCACACACTCCAAGAAACAATGAGTCTATAACCTAATAAATACATCGTTGCATGACACTACATAGATGTTCCTACCCACTATGGAGGTAGTAACATAGTCTAGGAAAGTGTGTAAGTTACTATCTTATGTTCTTGCCCATTGTGACCAGCCTGATATGGTTGTACCTTCCGCCCCAAGGTGACCATGCGGAGAGGAAAATATCAAATGGTCAAACGAGAGCACATTTGCAGGCCTAGGGACCAAGGTGGAGTGAGTTCATGGCTTCCCGCAAAATGAATGTGCTCGTGATGAAATAGGTTTGGAAGATCCTTCGCAACAAGGGTGGCATGTGGCTTCATCTTATTAAGACAAGCGCCTCCAAGGGTACTCGCCCTCTAGTGCTCCACATGGGAGGGATCCCAAGGCCTTGTTTTTTTCAGCTTCAACGGGCTTCTAATCAGCTATGGATTTGCTTCACTAGCAAATCTGATTTGCAGAATCAATTTTGTCACTGAAGTACACTAGGAAGAACTTTAGAAAATTATACTGGAAATGGCCCGAACTGGATTGGAGTTTTGCCACTGAAGCTGATTTGAAATAGTTGTTTGTTCAGATCCAGTTTTCTCGGAGTTGGAACCGGTTCCTAAAGCTGACACAAACATAACCCAAGTTTTACGGGTGATCCAATCATATCAATTAAACACCTTATATAGGAGGAAGCCTGACATGAGGTGGAGGATGAAGAGTCCATCCATTTCGTGCTAGACGTTTAGTCCGACCCGAGAGCTCTCATAGGGGAATTCACAACTCTCTTCTCCACGTGCAGTGCTCTGGATGTGCCTGCCACAAACATCCTATGGAATATTCCATTCCATCATCGTCATTCAGGATGGACAAGACAAACGTGTGGCGTGCCCCCTTGGCATTAGTTCCCGGATCCATCTCTCCAGGTGTCTAGAATTCTATATCTTGATTGCTTGCCACGCTACAAATATTCTCATCATGGTCATTGTACCAAAGGTTGGTTGGGGCCTCCATGGAGGAAGCCTCAAAATCTCGGGTCCTTTCAATTTGCTTTTTGAAAAGGTGGTTAAAACCTCCAGCCTCTACATCATTGTGACGCACACATTCATCGCGTCCCTCTAAATGTTATTATCTTTCTTTGACAACTCCTTTTGAGTAGTTTGTCGTTGGACACGAAATTGAGGAGGTGTAACGGGTCGAGCAATGGTATGCCCTTGTGTGACATCTTCTTTTCCTATGTGATACCCCAATTATTATGGAGGTGCATTAGGGTGCATTTGGTGCCCCACAGATTCTTGTGAGTTTTTTTCACGAATGGATTCTTCCGAGTTCATTGTGATCCTTGCGACGCCCTCTCTTGTAGGACCGTAGGAGGAGGAGCCTCCTATGGGTTGCTTTCGCGGCAATCTCCTATGGTACACCACGTACTAGGACGACTTGCATAGTGCAACATACAAGAACGAATAGGGCAACCAACAAGAGAGTAACGTAATCCCACGATTATAGGATCGCACGAGGCGATCAAGGAGGCGACCAGGTTTCCCTTGCGCGCCGCCGGTGACGCCGTCGGTTCCCTCTCTCTCCGTCGGCCGCTCCGGCGGCGAGTGGGAGGGGGAACCTCGGATCTGTTCGCTAGGTGGGTGTGTGTGGTAGGGTTAGGGTTGAGGGAGACGTTGCCGAGGCCGTTGCGCTGGTATCGCGTCGGAATAAGTTTCAGCGGGCTCCGTTCGCGGTCAGGCGAGGCTTTTGCCTGCGTCTAGGAGCCAGCGGGGTTGGGATCCCCGGATATCGTCGAGGTCGCGGGCTATGGTGGCTGGAGGTCCATCGGCATTGGCCGTTTGGGTCCTCAGATGGGCGATGGATGCAGCGAGACGAAGACCTTTCTTCTTGCTTGTTGGTATGATTTGCTGCTGTTGTTCTTCTTCTTCCTATGCGCTGATGTTGGTGGGAGATCCTACTTTGCCCGGGCGGATGGCCCGGCCGTGGTGCTAGACCGGTCGGATGATTCGAGTTCTCTTCCTTTCGGAAGGGACACTTTTCACGGTACTCGAAGCCAAAGATGGCGACAACTGTTGCAGGTGTGTTGCATTGATATCCATGCCCTCTCATCGCTGGTGTCAAGAAAGGAGGAAGCAGCGTGGCGGCAATTGTACCGTGGTCGAAGATGATGACCTGTTTGCGACTGGTTGCAGATCCTTCTGCTACAGGGGTCTTCTCTCAAGATTCAGGGATGATGACACAGAGCTCCGGAGATCTTCTTGTGTTATGGTTGTCTTTAGGGTACTCTAGGTGTTCATGGTCCTTTGTGTTTGTGTTCAGTGTGCTTGTAAGGGTCAACTACTTTGTACTGATTCGTGATATGAATGAAAAAATTCTTAAAAAAAAATTCTCAAAAAAAAAATTTCTAAAAAAAAAACACACAAGAACGAATAACTCGCCACGTGGTGGCACCATGCTGCTTTAGCCGCCAGCAGCGTCACGTGAACAGAATAAACCGACCGTTTGGAAAAAAGAAAGGAAAAAAAAAAGCAGCACCGAGACGTACGTATGCACGCAGCACGCCCGTGACCATCGCGCCAAGAGCGTCATCCACACTCGTCGCTTCCACTTCCACGGGTGTGAACGCGCGCGCCCACGTCGCCGTCGAGCTGGAAGCACATGAGCCACACGCCCACGTAGACACGGCCGGGCACCGCCGGAGAAAGTTAACAAAAGCTCGGCCGATCTGTCCCACGCCGGAGGCCAGCGCCAAAGCTGCCAATCAATCGAGGGAACGGCAGCCAGACCAATCCACCCGAACGGCGCAACATTCTTGTTCCAGACACACATGATCCCACACCGTTTCTCCGTCCAGCAATCAACATTTCCGAGACTGTAAAAGGCGAGTGAAAGCAGGCAAGCAGCACAATTTTTCCACTGGCAAGCAAAGTGGCAACGTCCATTGACACTCGCCTTTTGTTTTGGGTTGCATTACAACTTGTACTACAATGGCCACCACTTGCCTACTGTTATCACTGCGCCATGTGCTAACAGTCCCCAGATACCCGACCCAGACGCCCTCGAATTCTGTTGCCTGCCTGCGCGGCTGCGCCGTTGACAGCCGGTGGACGGACCGGCGACGGCGCGCTTTCACACGCTTTATTACCACTAGTCCACTACCACTGGCCTCACGTCCACGCAAACAGCAGCCATTTTCACCGCTCGCGTCCCCCGCTGACGGGCGGGGCCCACGCGCATCGACCCCGTCCGTCCGTCCTTGTAACCGCGGGCCAATCCACCGCCGGTCGTCGCAGTCAACCCGCGTCCAGCCACCCCGACGTCCCCTTCCCCAACGAGACCACGCAAGGCCCGACCCCGACGCGACTGCCAGCGGGCCCCGCGACGGCGCAGGCCCACCTGGCATTGAAACCGCGGGACCGCCCGCGTCGGAAAATTATTTACCCACCGCGCGCCAGCGAGCGCGCACGCCACCTCTCCTCCCCCGCAAGCAGCCGCAAGCCGCCGAGGCCGACGGCGACGGGAGCCCCCCAATCCCCAAATCCGGCGCCGCGCAGCCAGCCTCGGCCCGGCGTATGGATCCAGATGTTCTCGTGGGCCCGTAGCAAGCAGTCCTCACCCGCCTCCTCCTCCGGCCGCCGCGGCGGGGACGCCGCCGCCGCCGCCATGGACTCCGGCAGCAGCCGCCGCAGCGGCGGCGGGAGCGGGCACGGGAGCGGCCACGGCAGCGGGAGTGGGAGCGGGAGCGGGAGCCGCGGACGCAGCCCGCGGCTGGAGCGGCGCAACGCGGCGAAGCACATCGACTACGAGGTGGGCGCGGCGGCGACGTCCGTGTCCGCCTCGTGGTCGACCTCGTCGTCGGAGCGCTCGCCGGGGGCCCGGCCGACGCGCTCGCTCGACCTCGCGGCCAGGGGCGGCCGCGCGGACTTCCGCATCAACGGCAGCGCGGAGGGGGAGGTCGACGAGCTCTGCCGCAGCCTGGGGCTGTCGGGGCCCGAGGACTTCGCCATCCCCGTCGCCGCCTGGGAGGCCCGCAAGGCGCGCTCCAGCTCCGACCTCCTCGCCCGCCCCCGCCCGGACCCGGACTCGTCGGCTCCTCCCGGGGAGGAGCCCGCCCCCGTCGTCCGCACCGTCTCCGCCCCCGAGGTCCCGTGGCCCGCGCCTCACTCCTTCCCCGACCCCATTCCCGAGGAGTCCATCCACTCCTCCTCCGCTTCCACCGCCACTGCCACTGACTCGGTGGACGAACCCATCATCGCGCCGCCGGAGGAATCCCCCAAAGCTACCCGTGCGGTTGCTGTTGCGGCGCCCGTCGCGGCCTTGTCACTTCCCTCGCCGAGAAGGGGCGGCGGGGAGGTCGGGATCCGGGGCGTCCGGCCGCCAGTGCTCTCCCCGCCTCCGCCGATCACGGGACTCGCGCCGCCACCGGCGAGGCAGTCGTCTGTGGCTGAGATCATGAGCGGGTCGGCCTGGGACATTGTGAACTCGTTCGCTCCCACGGAGGAGAATAGTGAACTGAGAATGGCCTATGGACATGCTGAAACATCTCACATGTCAGACACAGAGGAGGATAATCCTGAGGAGAACGATGAAGGATTGACGGGGCTTGAGGGGGAGCTTAAAGGCTGGAGGGTAGGGGAGACCTTTGAAGGGTTCACCGGGACATCCTCATTGTCGACAACAAATGATGATGATGCATCTAGCACGAATACAGAGGCCGTGTTCGTCATCTCGCCGAATGGCAAGTTCAAGCGGAACATCAAGTCATGGATGCGTGGTGCACTTCTGGGAAGTGGCTCATTCGGGATGGTGTACGAAGGGATCAGTGAGTAAGTAGCAATGTTATTATTGGCATTTTATTGTTCATGCACCTTATATGTTTTAAATTCTGAATGGTCCAAGGAGGTACTGGGCTCTTCTGTCTAATTTAGGCATAACCTGGAAGTAAACCTGTTTATTCGCCTTGTGTTATGATTAGTTTGTCTACAGATAAGCTTAGTTAGTCCAAACAGCCCCATTGTACCATCACTATAACAGGGCAGCATCAGATCATTTAGTATGTGCTAGAGTTTACAAGTACGCAGAACTATATCATTCTTTTTTGCGGGGAGAACTATATCATTCTACAGGTAGATTATCAAACATTTATTTGGGTAAGCATGCGTGTAGTAGTTGGTTTGGGCTTTGGGGTGGAGGTGCTCAGAAAAGATCTGATATGCACTGGTCGCTCAATTTCGTAACACACACACACACACACACACACACATGAACATGGTATATTGAGAATATAATACGGAATAGATTTAACCTTGGCCCTTCAAACCTTATTATTTAGTATACACACCTTGCTATATTCTGGGGGTAGGAACAGGGATTTGTCCAATCAAGCCATTTCTGTAATTTAGCGCAGCCAGGCGAGGCAGCAGACCACTGCAGTCTGGATGTGTTACTGCTGTCTGCCGTAGTAACATGTCTGGTACAACAAATGTTGATTGCTCACGGCATGCTTCTGTACATGTTCTGACCATGATTATTCATATGTCATAAAGCTCACAGTAATCTGCAGAGGGGATCTAGTAGAGTGATTACTGATTGCTTTATCTTCTACTGTTTGGCTGATCTAGGAAGAACTAAGATGGGCTTGAGGGAATCAGTTTGTTTCTGGAAGAAAAATAATATGGCATATTGTATATACAAAAGCAAAGGATACGGTGATTTGACCCTTTACTGACTGAGATTGATTGATACCCAACTCTTGACTTTTGTTCAGCTACTAAAATGCAAAACAACATTATCAATCAGCTGAGCGTTACAAAACATGCCTTCTGATTATCCCTGCACAGTAGACACTTCTCTATTCATGAAAATATTGGAAGGACTTAATGTTTGATACCTATTCTTTAGGAGTGAGCAAGTGTACTTGTTTCAGCTGTACCATTTGGTAAGCATTTAATATATTTTGCTCTCTGTTATTGAATATTTCTGCAGTGAAGGTGCGTTCTTTGCTGTTAAGGAAGTATCGTTGCTTGACCAAGGAAGCAATGCACAGCAATCTATTCTTTCACTTGAACAGGTTCGCTGTTGCTATTGATTTGTCTCAGTTATGATATCAACTATTGTCTATGCACATTTCACATGCTCTGATATCTTCTAAAGCTATATATTTCATTGCCTGATTTTATGTTTGTTTTTTGTTTCTTAGGAAATCGCTCTCCTTAGTCAGTTTGAACATGAAAACATAGTCCAGTATTATGGAACTGACAAGGTATTCCACACTCCTTTTGATGTTACTAGGTTATATGCATTACGATTCTGGATTTTTTTTTCTTTAAGCAATCCTTATGTCACATATAAAATTTGTTTTATTTGTGTATAATGATGTTCAAAATGTAAATGCAGGAAGAATCAAAACTCTACATTTTTATTGAGCTTGTTACACAAGGTTCTCTTTCATCCCTCTATCAAAAGTATAAACTGCGAGACTCACAAGTCTCTGCGTACACAAGGCAGATTCTCAATGGATTGGTTTATCTCCATGAGAGGAATGTGGTCCACAGGTATAATGCTGCTTCTCTTATGATTTATCTTGAAAATAATCAGTGCTCATGAGCCAATAAATTTCATCCTTTCAACCACTTTTCTAGTATTGAATAATGAGTTTTTGCTCTCATGGGTCATGCACTTATTATGTGAATAGCACATAGGGAGCAAGTTTGCTTTCCAAAAGCTAGTACCTGCTCCATCTTCTTAAGGTGGCATCCACCATAGACTACTGGAGGTTAAGTAGGTTCTTTTGGATCATAAGCAAATAAAGCTCTTTTGCTCTACCTTCTTTTTGTTCATTTTGGGTCAAGTGGGAGGGTGAGATGCGAGGAGAATATTTTTTTAATAATTTATTTAAAAAATCAGTGCATTACATGGTTTGTATGCGTATCATCTGTACTGTAGTTTGGGATTGTGAAGCCAACAATACACAACAATGATCAATGAGGTACAGCCTGTTAGAAACAGAGCAACTAATTCGTTCACCGTCATCATTTTGGATTCTCTACATCAGAGCAAGTAAACACTTGACCCTCTGACTGGTACCCTGGAAAAGGCGCCGCTGGCTTGCTTGGTCAAATACAGGCACTGCTTGATTTCTATTTTTCATCCCATTTTGTCTCTTTCTGTTTTGCATTGGACATGTCATTTTTGATGGATATACTGAGAATACACCACTTTAACATTTAGGAGAATTTGCTGTTTTAAACACCCGTAATTCTATGATTTGGCATTTTGATCACTTTATTTATTTTCCCTTCATTTTGTGCATCTTTAACTCACTTGAAATACCAATTTTGCCCTCTACATAAATGAAGTTCTTTATTGTTTTTAAAAACTACACAAGTGCCTTTCACCATACATATCGAAGCATCTGAAGCCTGCAGGCGCATACGCACGCACATGTGCACCACAATTGCCTAACCCTATTCAGCAAAGATCAGATCAATAAATGAGCTATCTCTGGACCTTCATACTACTAGCAAATTAATAGATCCCCTCAATGTGCTCGCTGAGAACTCCAAGGCACAACACCTGTTTTTTTTCTTTCTGAAAAGGCTCTTGTGTTGTAAGTAAAATGGTAGGCGTTGGCATATAGCTATAGAGGGCAAAGTTGATATATCAAACGGGTGGAAAAGAAGCAAAAACATCAAGGGAAAATAATAAAGAGGGTGAAATGTCAAATCATAGAATTACCTGTGTTTAGAGGGTCTAATCCTAAATTACCATAAAATTGATGCCAGTTCATACAAATACTTTTGATTAATTGAGACAGTTCTTTATACTCAGAGATATCAAATGCGCCAATATATTGGTTCATGCAAATGGATCGGTAAAACTTGCAGATTTTGGGTTGGCAAAGGAGGTGAGCCTTGTTTCTTCTACGAGATTATTTGCGCGTCTTCAAATGGCAAATTGTCTTATGTGGTATTTTCTCTTAATTTCAGATGTCTAAAATTAATATGCTGAGATCATGCAAAGGAAGTGTTTATTGGATGGCACCTGAGGTAATAGTCATACTTTAGCCCATGCTGATCAGGTTCAAACTATTCAACTTTTATGTTATTTGGCGATATTTCAGGAATAATCTTGTGGTATCTTTTAATAAGCGCCCAAGTTCTAAATGCACCTTCCCACTTTCAGGTTGTTAATCCTAGAAAAACATATGGGCCTGCAGCTGATATGTGGAGCTTGGGCTGCACTGTGTTGGAAATGCTAACCCGCCAAATACCATATCCCAATGTCGAGTGGGTATGTCATATTTTCAACTTCACATGTTTTAGTTCTCTGGTATTGACTTGCCACACAGAAAATTAAGTATGTTGCATCGTTAACTTTATTATGCATGAGACCTTTGTTGTCTAGGGCATTGAACTTTTGGGTGTGAAAAATGTTATAATTAAGTTGCAGAAAAACTCTGATTCGCTATTTGACTTTCTAATAAAGATGCGGTAGGATGCCAGCAGATCTTGTCCTTTTTCTTTAAGTTAATTGATATTTAGGGATTTGGGAGCTGTCCATGCACTTGCTGAGGCAGAACATGGGGAAATCATCACCTTCCCCCCTTCCAAGCCTGAATCATTTATCAGATATAGCTATTCTAATTTTTATATTTGGTACATATAACAATGATAACCCTGTGCCTTCAAAATTATGTGTTCTTTTTTTTCTATTTTTTATTACGGTGAAAATAGCACGTTATTTGTGTCTGATGATTTGGGTTCCAAAAAGCGTGCGTGTGATTATTTCTATGGAGTGTACTTCTCTCCGAATGATAATCTGGATAACTCGTTGACATTTAACCTACTTGGTGTTGATTGTCGGCTCCCAACTAATGCTTCTTTGCTACTTGTAGACAAATGCTTTCTTTATGATTGGCAAAGGAGAACAACCACCCATTCCCAGCCACTTGTCAGCAGAAGCTCAAGATTTCATACGCCAATGTGTACGAGTCGATCCAGACGAGCGACCTTCCGCATCACAACTTTTGGCGCACCCATTTGTTAACCGGCCACTTCGAGCTTCTTTTGATTCTTTGTCTCCTCCGATCAATAGGCCCTAGTATTGATAGTGTGGTTTCTCTGTTTGTGCCACCACGGTCCACGGCTCATCTCCTGATTTGGTAAGCTGTCTACTTATGCCAAACGTATTGTGTACAAGCATCCTAGATGTTAGCTTTCTCATTTATACTTAGTCAATGCCAGTTCTGCACACCATTGTTCCATTTTATCATATAGCCTATCGTTTTTGCAGATCTTCATGATCTCCACCATGGGGGGCAGTACTTTAGGAGGACGTAGTTGAGCATGTGCAGTCAAATAGGATGATGGGTGAGGTTGAGCACTGACCATGTTTGTTCGATTGTTTGTGCATTTTTTTCATAGGCAAAGTTTTCGATAGATTTTGTTGTACAACTTAGTGGAGGAGAGAGTTGGAACTGCAGTGCTGCTAGGGTGTCCTGCTGCTTTGTAAATGTTTGACCACTGGCTATTATTCTTTACCCCATGGCTGCTTGTTGCTCCTAAATCAACCGGAGCATTACTATCGCATGGTATAGCGGTATTCTTTTCTTCTAGTGAGTGGAAATTTTGCATTTTTTGTGGTGTTATCGCTTATTTTCCGTAATTTTGTTTGGTGATTATTCGCTGTACTGTACGGTGGAAAGGGAGTAACTGGCATTGATCTTAGGGCATGTACAATGGTCGATAAGGTAGTCTTATCTTAAATCTTGCATGTAATTTAGAGATGGCAAAAAAACATGTCTACAATGGGTCATCTCTTAACCTTATCTTCAATAACTAGTTATTCCTAAAAATATGGTGAGACATATTGTGCTAACAGATCATCTCTTGCCTTCTCTTAATTAAGAGAAGACAAGCCTTCTCTTATGATTTCTCTCTCCTCCACCTCATCATTTATCCTACGTGGCATTGCTAAGATAGAACCATTGTACATGCCCTTAGCATTCTGTTTGCTGACTGGATCATCAAATGGGATGCTAACTGTATTACCTGCCCTGAAAACTGGAATGTGATTGAGGTCCCGTTGGATTTACTATGATTAACTTGCACATGGTGGTCGGTCGCTAAATAATTGCGGTTTGACTAAACAGCCGACAGTACTATATCGGTTAAATCCTTCCGTATGTAGAGTGTGCTTTACCCTGTTCGTTGAATATTTTGGTGGAGTAAACTTTGGGTGAAATGCTAATTGCATTTGCCGTACGACACGAAGTAGTAGTAACACGGGAAAAAAAAATACTAATCCCAATGGCGAAGGCTCATGCCACCACTGGATTTCGGCTGTGTCCGCGGCTCCGCGCGTACTCGGGACCTTTGACAGCCAGACTATCTGCGGCCGTACGTGGTCGAGATGGATAAGCAACCTCTTCTCCCAGAGGACTCGTCTCCTGCATCACAGGACACCGTGCTCGTATGTCGTCTACCAGTCTGTACTCTGGAGTCTGGACTCTGGAGTGTGCTACTCGCAGCAGCCACGGTCCGTGGCCATACGATACGGATGGCGGACTGGGCGCCCACGGCGCCAGCCCCGTCGCCGTCTCCTCCGTCTCCCGGTTTTGTCCCGCCTGCTCGTGTAAGTCGTGAACTCGTGATGAGCCAGACGGCGACCCGGCACGCAGCACCGCCCGCACCGTAAAACCCATACCCGGCCCGGCCTGGATGGAGCACGCCAGCCCCCCTTGTCTCGGAAGTGTGCGTGCACGTTGCATGCACACACACCTGGCTCTGGCTGGCCGCCGCACGCACGGCAAGCCGAGCGAAATCCCAGCGATAGGCGCGCGCATCACGGGATTGCAATAGAAAAGGCGAGCAGCAGTAGTACAGTAGAGTGATTTACGCGCGGGGGCCTCGTAGCGGCCGCGCTTATTCCGGCGCAGCGCGCGACACGCGGTCACCCCCCGCACCCGCCCGCATCGCCGCGCGCTCCACCGCCGCTCAAGCAAGCAAGTAGCGGCAGCCAGGCCGAGAGGATCTCTTCTCGAGGGACGCGCCGCACCAGCACCAGCACCATCACCATCACCATCGCCATGAGGAGGGGGCCTCAGCAGCAGCAGCAGCAGGGGGAGCCGGCGGCGCCGGGGACGGGGGCGGGGGTGGTGCGCGTGGACAAGGCGTCGCCCGCGTCCAGCTTCCGCCAGCTCGACGACGCCTTCTTGCAGGTCAGTCGGCCAGTCCAAACCCACCTTCGCCAAGTACTACTACGATTTTTATCCACTCGCCGCCTGGTTCGACCGTCGGGGAGCCGAGGGTCAATGGAACAGTAGTGCACTCTCTCCCGGCGCACCCGCAGCGCCAGGTTCCCGGCGTGGCAGAGCCGGAGCGCGTGCCGGCAGGCCGGCCGGCGTCGCGCGCTGGGTTTCTTCTGGCCGGCTTTGCTCCCTAATTTGTCGCCGACGATGGCCCCGGCGCGTTCTACGTGCGTGGACGGTCTGGCCTGGCGATCTGTATCGCGAGTGGTGTTCAGGATAGGATGCTCTGATTCGACGGCGTGGAGACGATGCGCATGTTCGAGCTGTTTTGCCAAGATAATCAACGCCGAAGTGTCGATCGTATCCGTGCACTCGAAAGAGATGGATGGATGGATGCGGTGCTTGCCAACCACTGCAATGGGACGTCCGATTTACTACAGAAATTTGTCAAGACGTTGATGTGTGCATTTTGTACATCAAATTTGTGTCTCATAAACACGAGGTTGCGCTGTGCATTCTGTTGAACTTTTTTTTTTCTTCATACAATTATGTGTCAACATTGGATAAAACTGTACCGTACTAGCTAACTTCTTCTCCTATGAGTGTCAATCGTATTGCGCTGTATATACAACAGAAAATTTCAAAATGTACACCTAAAGTATGCATCCTACACTCATCCGCAAACATTCTTAGTAACTACCAATACTTAGGCTGTATATCATATAAGAAATACTCCCTCCGTTTCTAAATACAAGTCTTTTCAGAGATTTCAATATGAACTACATACGGATGTATACAGAGTTACAGGCATACTTTAGAGTGTAGATTCACTTATTTTGCTCCGTATGTAGTCCATATTGAAATCTCTAAAAAGACTTGTATTTAGGAATGGAAGGAGTAGTATAGAGTGCAGTGCAGTTCTTCATTCTGTTTTCGCAAAATAAAAAGTTCTTTCATTCTGTTCTTTTATATATCCTTATGGGCTTGTGTGCACATGCTTACCAGCACATCTTTTAATTCTGTTATATATCCTGTACTGGAAATACTTTTCTTGTTGGTTATACATATACCTCTGCACTAACCACCTTTTTTTTCTGTCGCTATCCTGCTTCTGTACATCGGAATATCTTCTATTGTGCTTATATATACTATATATAATTATTTTGCCTTTGTGTTGACGCCTTTTTTGATTTTTTGGCTTCCCTTTTTATTTATGTGTTTGTTTCAGAAACAAACAAAAATCTGGCTTGGCGAAGTTCTCCATGTCAGGTTTGATGAAGACATTTTGGTAGCAGACCTCCTAGGTGACGGGGAATTGCTGTAAGATCCATTCATCATCACTTTCTACTTCTCTAGCGTGCAATCCTACTACCTGGTATTACTTTGTACTCCCTCTCTAAAGAAATATAAGAGCTATATTTCTTTATAAAGGGAGTAGGTTTTTTGTATGAATTTCCAGTTATGTAATGTGCAACTAAGAAATCTTGGGTTGCAGTGAATGATATGCTTTAGCTAATAATGCCTAATAGGCAACTTTGGTTCTTTACAAGTGTGGGCTTATGTCTACATTATGAGCCAACTGTTCAGAAAAATAATGCTTAACACTTCCCAATCCTTTACCTTAATTTATATGGGCAATATTAATCAAAGTAGTCACATGTTCTGACACATTTTTATTTCCTTAGCTTTTCATAATTTTTTTTTGATATCTTAATTCTGTTTGTTATGCCGACAGATTTCAAGTTTCCAAAGTGATATGGAAGAGGCTACTCAGAAAGAACAAAGAACAACTCAAGCAATCAAAAGTATATATTTATGAGAGGCCATCTTTTGGTAAAACTAACGGGAAATATACTCCATATCCAAAAGTAGACTCGTTTCTAAAGGTATTGATAATTTAATGTTACTCGTAGCAGTTCAGTCAAGTCGTCATCTTTATTTTCAGTTTATAAGTGCATTAATTTTCACTTTACTGGCTTGATATTTATTTTCTTTCGAAAGGGCAGGTTTATCATTTTATTTTATTTTCCAGGTATGCCAAACCCTTGGATTAGCTGGAATTGATTTGTTTACCCCTTCTGATGTGGTCGAGAAAAGAAATGTTCGGAAAGTGTGTATGTGCATACGCTCACTGTCTAAAAAGGCTGGCATGATGCAGCTGAACGTAAGTCCTAGATTTGAATCCAACCTATTTCAACAATGCCTCTCTTTCTGCAAAATAAAAACCTTTCGGTCAAATTTTCATTGACCAATAAACACTGTAGTTCTAAAACAAGTGTTTCTGCTCCCTGGTGACAGGTGCCTGATTTTGATGTTGTAACCCACACAATAGCCATGCCCAACTATATTGTTGGAGGCATCCGCAGAAGTCTGGAGCAGCCACAATGCAGTTCATCTTGTTCGAGTGGGCACAGTCCGCGTGCCATTTCTAAAGTAGTGCATTAGCTGGCAAACTCTTTGTAACAATGGTTTCAGTTTTCTTTGCATGTTCTTGCCGACTGATCAATATTATTCCTTTCAATCCCTATTTTCCACAGAGCATATTTGAAGGACAGAATGATGAACAAAGCGACCGACATTATGACTCTGATGAAGCAGAGAGCAGTCTCTTTGTGCTAGGGCCTCAGGATTCTCTTGATGACGACAAACTTTCCGAGCTTTTGCAGTTGGGCGATGCCCCCAAGGAAGAAAGAGAAGGCTATGGAGACAGTGGGCATGAAATGCCCGAGGAGAAGTCGCTAGCCGAATCAGCGGGATCACTTGAAGCTGGTGTTATGGATGCTGATACTAGGAATTCGACTCCTTTTCATGAGAACCTACTCTCACCAACAGATCGGTGTTCAACAACTAGAACAAATAAATGTTCACTAAGTTCAGAAGAATCAGACTCCATAAACAGTTATTTAGCTTCCGACAGTTGCAAGAATGATTTGGACGGTCCTCCTGTCAAAGTGTCCGAAAGGATTCATGATGGACACGTCGAACCTTCACATGATTCTGTTCAGGGAAATGGGAAAATATTCACTGACCATCCAGAAAAAGATGACAGCGCAAGCCAAGAGCTGAAACATGAATTCAGCACTAAGGATCACATGGTATTTCCTGATAAAATGCCAAGCATTTTGGATGCTACTCTTATTGTTATTTCTTTTTGTCTGGACTACCACAATATAACAATAACATTTATCTTGCTTTCACTAACCCAGGACGCTTGCAAATCTGACGAACCGGGAACAACTGAAAGCAACAGCAATGCTCAGGGGACCGGGAACAATGCTCCCAAATCAGGGAAAGGGGTGCTGAAGTCAGTTGCTGGAGGGATCACGCTCATCGGCGCCGTGTTCTTAGTAGCTCATCTCAGGTATGGGACCATTGTGAGCATTATACAGCAATCTGACGTGCAGGACATTACTAGATCTTCTGAAACCAGAGCCGTATGCATCTTTTTGATGCAGAGGCCGGGGCAAAACCCCCTTTTCAAAAAAAAAAAGATCTTCTGAAACCGTCTATTAATGCTGCAGGAGGAGCAAGGGGATAAGCTTTACAACTATTTTGCCTTCACTTTCTGAGAAATCAATTCAGAGCGACTCGAGGGCGAACAATGTGGACAACGGAAAGACAACCGAGGTGTATCCAGGCGGCTGGCTCAAGGTTTGACAGGAGGGACATGCCGAATAAACGGGCGCAATTTGAAAGGTTATGTCTGATGTAAATTCATATCTACTGTACTTATGGAGCGTTATATACCAGCGGTATCCTAATTTGGTTATAGAGCTGCGTCAAGTGACCTAAAGTTAAATGTGATATATATTACCGTTCTTTCCGTGTAAAGAATTGTATAGGTGATTTATCACTGTTCATAATTCAGAGCAACTTTCTAATAGCTTCAGGCTGCGTTGTCATGGAGGTGAAATATGTCCAAATTTTTGAGCTAGCTTTTGCCTACTTTCACTCGTTGTCATGGCTATTTTTCACAGCAGATTAATACGGTTTTGTCAATTCTGAGTTGTCGAGGCCTCCTTTGTTTCATATTGTAGAAATATCATAGGAATAGGAAACTTGTACAAAATCAGATGTCATGTTGTGTTGTATGGATTGTTTGTTTGGGGGTTGTTGCTTTATATATAAAGCGGGGCGAAAGCCTTTTTCGTTAATGAGATGCCATGTATCTCAAATCCTATGAATAGGAATAGGAAAAGAGATGTCCTTTGGTTCACATCATATGATTTTTTTTCATATCCTAAAAAAATGATTTTTTTATTAAGTCTAGACTAATGTTTATTTTTCTATGAATTGTTGAGGATAGAAAGAATTCCTTGATAGGAATAGGATTCTACTCCTACAAACCAAATAACTCTAAAGGATTTTTTTTCTATAGAAATCTTTTGCTGTAAAATTCCTACAAAATTTCTCCAAACCAAATGAGGCCTGAGTTTTTATTATGTCTATGTTAACATCTTGAGCTGTCTGATGTCTCGGTGTTGATTTGTAGACATGGTATAGAGAATTTTGTATCTTTTGCGAAAAGGTCAAATGCCATGTATTATATATTAAGTAGCACATGCCTTATGAAAATACATTTATATTTTTTTAACACAGTATAGACGCAAGCACTCATATATACGCGCATACATTCACCCTTATAAACGCACACACGCATACCCTACCCCTATGAGCACCTTCCAGATACTGAGCCGGCATATCATCTTGAGATTTTACGAAGTCACTGTAGGCACCTCGTAGTCGACCGGAATGTCTCCTGCCACCGAACACACATTGCCGGAAAATACTGAAATAAATTCAGGACAAATAAGAGCATCAGGACTTGAACCCTGATAGATTGCCGGTGGACATCGTTTATTATCCATGCTATAATTGTATTGATAGGAAACTCAGATACATGTGTGGGTATATAGACAACACCATGTCCCTAGTAAGCCTCTAGTTGACTAGCTCGTTGATCAATAGATGGTTACGGTTTCCTGACCATGGACATTGGATGTCGTTGATAACGGGATCACATCATTAGGAGAATGATGTGATGGACAAGACCCAATCCTAAGCCTAGCACAAAGATCGTGTAGTTCGTATGCTAAAGCTTTTCTAATGTCAAGTATCATTTCCTTAGACCATGAGATTGTGCAACTCCCGGATACCATAGGACTGCTTTGGGTGTACCAAACGTCACAACGTAACTGGGTGGCTATAAAGGTGCACTACGGGTATCTCCGAAAGTGTCTGTTGGGTTGGCACGAATCGAGACTGGGATTTGTCACTCCGTGTAACGGAGAGGTATCTCTGGACCCACTCGGTAGGACATCATCATAATATGCACAATGTGACCAAGGGGTTGATCACGGGATGATGTGTTACGAAACGAGTAAAGAGACTTGCCGGTAACGAGATTGAACAAGGTATCGGCATACCGACGATCGAATCTCGGGCAAGTAACGTACCGTTTGACAAAGGGAATTATATACGGGGTTGATTAAATCCTCGACATCGTGGTTCATCCGATGAGATCATCGAGGAGCATGTGGGAGCCAACATGGGTATCCAAATCCCGTTGTTGGTTATTGACCGGAGAGCCGTCTCGGTCATGTCTGCATGTCTCCCGAACCCGTAGGGTCTACACACTTAAGGTTCGGTGACGCTAGGGTTATTAGGAAGACTTGTATGTGATTACTGAATGTTGTTCGGAGTCCCGGATGAGATCCCAGACATCACGAGGAGTTCCGGAGTGGTCCGGAGGTAAAGATTTATATATAGGAAGTCCAGTTTCGGCCACCGGGAAAGTTTCGGGGGTCATCGGTATTGTACCGGGACCACCGGAAGGGTCCCGGGGGTCCACCGGGTGGGGCCACCTATCCTGGAGGGCCCCATAGGCTGAGGGGGCGTGGGAACCAGCCCCTGGTGGGCTGGTGCGCCCCCCCTTGGGCCTCCCATGCGCCTAGGGTTGGAAACCCTAAGGGGTGAGGGCGCCTCCACCTGTCTTGGAGGCTAATCAACCCCTAGGGCCGCCGCCCCCCTCCCTAGATGGGATCTACAAGGGGCCGGTGCCCCCTAGGCCCCTATATATAGTGGAGGGGAGGGAGGGCAGCCGCACCTGAGTCCCTGGCGCCTCCCTCTCTCCCATGACACCTTTTCCTCCCCGCTTGCGCTTGGCGAAGCCCTGCCGGGATCCCGCTACTTCCACCACCACGCCGTCGTGCTGCTGGATCTCCATCAACCTCTCCTCCCTTGCTGGATCAAGAAGGAGGAGATGTCTCTCCCAACCGTATGTGTGTTGAACGCGGAGGTGCCGTCCGTTCGGCGCTAGGATCATCAGTGATTTGGATCACGACGAGTACGACTCCATCAACCCCTTCACTTGAACGCTTCTGCTTAGCGATCTACAAGGGTATGTAGATGCACTCTCCTTCCCCTCGTTGCTAGTCTCTCCATAGATAGATCTTGGTGACTCGTAGGAAAAATTTAAATTTTTGCTACGTTCCCCAACAGTGGCATCATGAGCTAGGTCTATTGCGTAGATTCTTTGCACGAGTAGAACACAAAGTAGTTGTGGGCGTTGATTTTGTTCAATATGCTTACCGTTACTAGTCCAATCTTGTTTCGACGGTATTGTGGGATGAAGCGGCCCGGACCGACCTTACACGTACACTTATGTGAGACAGGTTCCACCGACTGACATGCACTTGTTGCATAAGGTGGCTAGCGGGTGCCAGTCTCTCCCACTTTAGTCGGATCGGATTCGATGAAAAGGGTCCTTATGAAGGGTAAATATCAATTGGCATATCACGTTGTGGCATTTGCGTAGGTAAGAAACGTTCTTGCTAGAAACCCATAGCAGCCACGTAAAACATGCAAACAACAATTAGAGGACGTCTAACTTGTTTTTGCAGGGTATGCTATGTGATGTGTTATGGCCAAAAGAATGTGATGAATGATATGTGATGTAAGATATTGATCATGTTCTTGTAATAGGAATCACGACTTGCATGTCAATGAGTATGACAACCGGCAGGAGCCATAGGAGTTGTCTTTATTTATTGTATGACCTGCGTGTCACTGAATAACGCCATGTAATTACTTTACTTTATTGCTAAACCGTTAGCCATAGTAGTAGAAGTAATAGTTGGCGAGACAACTTCATGGAGACACGATGATGGAGATCATGATGATGGAGATCACGGTGTCATGCCAGTGACGATGATGATCATGGAGCCCCGAAGATGGAGATCAGAAGGAGCAAAATGATATTGGCCATATCATGTCACTTTTTGATTGCATGTGATGTTTATCATGTTTATGCATCTTATTTGCTTACAACGACGGTAGTAAATAAGATGATCCCTCATAATAATTTCAAGAAGGTGTTCCCCCTAACTGTGCACCGTTGCGAAAGTTCGTTGTTTCGAAGCACCACGTGATGATCGGGTGTGATAGATTCTAACATTCACATACAACGGGTGTAAGCCAGATTTACACACACGAAACACTTAGGTTGACTTGACGAGCCTAGCATGTACAGACATGGCCTCGGAACACAAGAGACCGAAAGGTCGAACATGAGTCGTATAGTAGATACGATCAACATGAAGATGTTCACCGATGATGACTAGTCCGTCTCACGTGATGATCGGACACGGCCTAGTTGACTCGGATCATGTATCACTTAGAAGACTAGAGGGATGTCTATCTTAGTGGGAGTTCATTAGATGAACTTAATTATCCTGAACATAGTCAAAAGGTTTTTGCAAATTATGTCGTAGCTCGCGCTTTAGTTCTACTGTTTTAGATATGTTCCTAGAGAAAATTTAGTTGAAAGTTGATAGTAGCAATTATGCGGACTGGGTCCGTAAACTGAGGATTGTCCTCATTGCTGCGTGGAAGGCTTATGTCCCTAATGCACCGCTCGGTGTGCTGAACCTCGAACGTCGTCTGTGGATGTTGCGAACATCTGACATACACGTTTTGATGACTACATGATAGTTCAGTAATGTTAAATGGTTTAGAATTGAGGCACCGAAAACATTTTTGAAATGGCGCAGAACATATGAGATGTTCCAAGAGCTGAAATTGGGATTTCAGGCTCGTCCCCACGTCAAGAGGTATAAGACCTCCGACGATTTTCTTAGCCTGCAAACTAAGGGAGAAAAGCTCAATCGTTGAGCTTGTGCTCAGATTGTCTGAGTGCAACAATCACTTGAATCGAGTGGGAGTTAATCTTCCAGATGAGATAGTGATGTTTCTCCAAAGTCATTGCCATCAAGCTGCTAGAGCTTCGTGATGAACTATAACATATCAGGGATAGATATGATGATCCTTGAGATATTCGCAATGTTCGACACCGCGAATGTAGAAATCAAGAAGGAGCATCAATTGTTGATGGTTAGTGAAACCACTAGTTTAAAGAAGGGTGTCGGTGTCAAAACCGACGGATCTCGGGTAGGGGGTCCCGAACTGTGCGTCTAGGCGGATGGTAACAGGAGACAAGGGACACGATGTTTTTACCCAGGTTCGGGCCCTCTCGGTGGAGGTAAAACCCTACTCCTGCTTGATTAATATTGATGATATGGGTATTACAAGAGTTGATCTACCACGAGATCAGAGAGGCTAAACCCTAGAAGCTAGCCTATGGTATGATTGTTGTTCGT